ATCAATCACATATTGATCATTTATATATGCTCAAAACTTGGGCACTGTGGTAGTGAGTAATTCCATATTATCAAGTGTTGGTTTTGTAGGGATTTGGTTTGATTGTATGGAGGATTTAATCATGAGCTGACATCAGTTAGAGAACCAATGGAAAACCTGGGAGTACTGGACAGCTGTTTCGTCCTAATTTGGGACTCCTCATCAGTACGCACCCACCGGGGTTCGAACCAGGACCTTCTGGTTACAACGCGAGCTCGTAGACCATTGATGTCAGCTCATGATTAAATCCTCCATACAATCAAACCAAATCCCTACAAAACCAATACTTGAAAATTAATCTGATGCTCACTAGCGACTGGCCCTATTCAGGCAGTTAACCTGGGGTTCTAGTGGGAAGCCGTGACCAGTAGTGTACAGCAGGTCGAAGATGAGGCAGTAACTCATCGAAGAAGACATTGCGAAGTGGTCGCGCTATGTCGTGAATTGGCAGAAGTTAGAATTCAAGAACCATTGGATCGGGTCCCAGTGGCTCAATGGTCTACGAGTTCGCCTTGTAACCAGATGGTCCTGGGTTCGAACCCCGGTGGGTGCGTACTGATGAGGAGTCCCAAATTAGGACGAAACAGCTGTCCAGTACTCCCAGGTTTTCCAATGGTTCTCTAACTGATGTCAGCTCATGATTAAATCCTCCATATAATTCCATATTAGTTTGTTTATTGAATGTATCACACAGTGAAGAAAAAGTATTATTTACTGGATGACGTTTCGAACAAAATTTATTGTTCATAATCATATCAATCATAATCACACGACTTTGAAACCTGAGTTTTATAGTATTCTTTGTCTTCTCCTATTTGTCGTCGTAGGGGAAGTAGAATTTCCCAGATATCTGGGACAGCTGTTGAATCATTTCTGTTACACGTATTTGCAGTTGATTCGATAGACAAAGCTTCTGTTATCAATCTCACACTCCACCCTGTTACATTAGATTTTAAAACATTCATCTTATCCCATTCTATTGCACTACATGCAATTACACACAGCCATACAATAGGGTGGGATAAGATGACAGTTTTAAAATCTGATGTCACAGAGTGGAGGGAGAGATTGATAACAGAAGCTTCGTTTATCGAGTCAACTGCAAATACATGTAATAGGAATTAACTCATCACCTGTCCAGTCGGATATTTGGAAAATTCTACTACCCAAAACGACGACAAACAGTAGGAAACAAAGAAAACTATAAAACTCCAGTTTCGAAATTGTGTGATTATAATCGATATGATTATGGACAGTAATAAATTGTGTTCGAAACTTCATCATCCAGTAAATAATACTGTTTCATCACTGTGTGATATATCTAATAAATAAACTAATATGGAATCGATCATCTATTTATGGTTTAAATTCCCGTGGATGTCGAAACGATATATACTCTGTGTTGTGAAAAAGGTTGTTGTTGCCACAGTTAAATCTGACCTCTGTGTTCATCTCAGTGTTGAGAATATATATTTAAATGATCAGTTTGCTACAATTACGTTCCCGGAGGGGGGGCATTGTAGTCAAGATGAGAAACAACGAAAAAACAGCAACACTCCGTTACAACACAATAACTCATATCCCTGAACTTTTATTGTATTTGATTTTATTAGTTTAGATTGTTTCAAATGTCTATAAATATCATAAAAGTACGAAGGAAATGGAAAATAAAAATAGGGTGGGAAGTTTTTAATTAAAATTTACTTAGGCCAAGAAAGAGAGAAAGAGACAAAGGTAGAAGAAACTTCTTCGTATGCAAAGCCAAGGCATGTACTCTCAAATTCCCATAGCTTAGGTTATGTGTGTAAAAGATAAGTTCGAAAGGTTCAATGGAATGCGATAGATAGCTTTGAAGGCACTACTTTTGTCGACTTGGTGACCGCTGCCAATCAAATGAGACAAATACACTAAAATCTATAAAAAAAGATTTGAATCAGCCTTTTCCGAACCATCTTTAGTATTACGTAACTTTTAAGATTTGATGTAATCTCTTTATTGAATCGTTTTCTTATCATCACATGCATAAACTCCCTGAACTTTTGTTAACCTTAACTTGATTAACATTATTTTTGCTGTCATTATGAACACCGTTATTATTAACGTTCAAAACATTTACCACATTATGATTTTTTTTAGTTAGACCACGAACTGATATAAGTTAGAGAACCATTGAAAACCAGGGAGCCCTGGACATCTGTTTCATCCTAGGTTGGGATTCATCGGTAGTAAGCACTCAACTTTTGAAAATTAATCTGATGCTCGCTAGTGACTTGCTACAGGACGGAGTTCCTAGAGTTCTAATGTCGTGACCAGTGAGGTGCATCCATCCAATCAGGAGTGAGGATGGATTTCCTGCCGATGACAGTGGTTGATGGACGCGCTAAAAATCACTGATTGGGCTGGCCATTGAATCGGGTATGACTGGTTGGATTGTTTACGAGCTGGCTGGCCTTGTTACTAGAAGATCTTGGGTTCGAACCCCCTACGGTGGGTGTGTACTGCCAATAAATCCCAAACTAGGATGGAACATATGAGCAGTACTCCCTGGTTTTCAATGGTTCTCTAACTGATCTCAGCACGTGATTCAACTCGAAAAACAAATCAAGTCCCTACAAATTAAATTGATAAAGTCACCGTCATTGGTCGCATTTATATATATGTATATGTCTCGTTCTAATTCTAACAGTAGGCATATCTATGACTAATATTTTTATCATGTAATTATAAAACTTGATGAGAATTTACCGAAAATACGTATTTGCTCGCTTAAATCATGAACGATAATTATTTTAACGGGAATATATTTAAGAATAGTTGGAAACAAAACCACTTAACATAGGCACATGAAACTTTATAATAATATTAGTGATTATTATATAATTATAAGTCGCCAATGATCTTCCTGATTGCAGTAGACTGGATAATGCGACAGACAACGGTTAATCGGGAAACAAGCATAAAATGGCCCCACGCAAAAAACTTGGCGGATCTGGACTTCGCCGATGATGTTATGTGTCTGATTTCCTACAAACTGGAAGATATGCAAGTGAGAAGCGACAGGTTGTCAGAAGAAGCATCAAAGATAGGAGGGAGTTCAGGTGAACATAAAGAAAACGGAGATGATGAAGATTCCTGGCCGATATCAACAGCAGCAACAACAACAGACAACAATCAGCCAGCATAAATGGGAGAAATCCGAAAGAAGTAACCTCCTTTGCCTATCTACTTGGGAGGCATCGTTTCAACTACAGGCGGACGGAGCAGATGAGGATGTCAAAGCAAGAATCGGAAAAGCAAGACAAGCTTTCATTACACTCAAGTCTGTGTGTAGATCAACACCACTCAGCATCAGAAATAAGATCCGGATTTTTAACTCCAATGTGAAGTCAGTGCTACTGAGTATACGGATCAGAGACCTGGCGCTTCATAAAGAGCATCTCACACAAGCTACCGACCTTCATTGAAAGTTGTCTTCGCTCATTATTCAAGATCAGAAGACCAGTGTAGATCGGCAATAGGGATCTCTGGGAGCAAACCAACCCAGCAGTAATCAATTGTGCAACAAATAGGCAGGAAGAAATGGAGATGGATTGGCTGGCCATACGCTGAGGAAACCATCACGTGATATCACTAGACAAGCCATCGCTCGAGTGGAACATGGCCGAAATGGAAGTGGCGAGTCGGTCGTCAGTGTAAGGGTGACTTGGAGGAGGTCACGTGAAGAGGAGATGAAAGCATGTGGGGCAGACTTGGAGCGGGGTGAAAAAGTTGGGAGAAAACCGAACGCAATGGAGACGCGCGACTGAAGCCCTATGTTCCTCTAGGAATTAAAGGATATAATAATAATAATATAATTATTACAAACAAATAACAGTAATAACAATAATGATAATAATAATCAATTTTATTAAAATATTAATGAAATGTGATATAATTTATCACTAGAAAATAACAAAAGTAGCAGGGGTTAAAAACAGGAGAAGAGAAATTTAGCTAAGTAGAAGAAGAAGAAGAAGATAACAAAGTGAACAATTGTGATAAAAATAATAAATGTGTAGCTAAATATGAAGTGTTAATATTAACACAACAGTAAAGCAAATAAAGCAAAATTATCAACGATATATAGATGAATGAATGAAACACTCATACACACCCACGTATACAAAGAATATGCATTTTGTTTGTTTGCTTGTTTTTGTAACAACACGATTGTAATTAAAAGAGAAAAGAGGGGAGGCTACATTACCTCAATATGATGGCATAATAAATAAACTGTTTACAGTAACCCCCCCCCCCCTCCAAACACCATCCGACCACACACACACACACACACACACATGTAAGCATGCACGCACAAACTTACTTGAATTCGTTTATTTGTGAAAAGACTGAAATCACTGCGAAAATGTATCATTAACATCATCATCACCAAAAGAAAAAAAAAACGAAAATCTCGAAAGCAAAATTAAACGAAGGGACCATACACACTCACACACACAGAGGGAAGGAGAGAGAGTTCAAGCGTGTATTTTACGTAAATATTATGCATAAAACAATGTTTGACCTATGGATTTTAGTACAATGGATAAAATAATAATAATAAGTAATAATAGTGACAATAATAAATAACAACACAGGAAAGGAAGATGCAACAAACAAAGAGAAATGACAACAAAGGTGTGTGTATGTGTGCGCCTGTGTGTGTGTGTGTATGTAGTGTAAACTTATTAAGAAAGCAAAAGAGATTACAAGACGATATGCCGAAAACAAACAACAATAAAACACAAAATCTACTTGTATGTTATTAGATATGAATTATGCAACAACAACAAACATTGTAATTGTATGCATCTTTTACAGTTTACATTATTAAACATTGATAAATTAAAAACTATACACATAAAACTACTAATTATTAAATGAAGGCGATTCATGCTGTGTTTTTCCTCTTTTTTTTCTAATTAACGACGCCAGAAACCAAGAAGAGCAGTTCGCATAGGTCTGTAAAACCGTGAATCAAAATCCAATAACCATGGATGACCACGTATACTTGACATGATGGGTGAGTGGACTTCAGCCTCGAGTATAAGAGCTAAACCGAAAAGTGATGCAAATGTTATGAAACCTGCTGACACAGCAGCAAAACGCCATACAGACACAGCCTCTCCAGCATCTCTTTGAGAACCTATGTCTGAAGTAGGACTGTCAATTATTGGATTGAGACGTGGCGAATGATTAGCATGACGGATGTCTTTATTTTGAATAGAGCGACTTTGTCGAGTTTTCTTCTCACCACTTGATGGACGTAGATAACTGAACCATGATTTAGCCGGTGATTTTTGTGTTTGCTTTATATAATATAAGATAATATCAAATGAAAATAAATCGAAGGATAGTATAAAAAAGAGTTACAAATAAAAAGAAGTAATACTGATATACTATGTAACAGTAGACGAGGATAGTATTGAGCCAATACTTACCCTTTTGAGTTAGTTAACAGCTTCCGAAAAAAAAAGTATCACCATTTTCTATTTATTTCAAGCTGCGATATTTCAATGAATTGTGCGAGACATCAATACGACATACTACTTATGTCCTTTTATCAGAGGTATGTTTTTTTCCTTCACGTTCCCCAGTGGAACATAAGGCTTCAAGCTAGTGGCTTGAAGTTTCTGTAGCAGTATTTATTTTACAGGATAGGGTTGCTAGCCTCATGTCAAACCTTTCCTTTTTACCAGCATTATTTCTGACTTAGCGAGGTAAAGGAGTGCGTTGGCGGCCGGGGATCAAACCCTGCACCATGTGCATAATTCGGCGAGCTTCTTAACCGCTATGCAACCGATGGACAACCACAGGTATGTACAAATACATAAATAGACACAATATTTAAACATTCATGAAACCTTTTGTGCTGCCTTCTATGCTACTGAAGTTACTTTTGATGTCACACTGAAGCCTGATGGCGAGACGTCTACGACTAAACAATAAACTATGAAGGAGAGATACTCACTCATTGAAATATCGAAACTGAAAAAGGTATGCTATGAGTCAATTTGAACCATGCATTACATTCCCCAAGGTATGGAAGTTAATTATTAATAATGATGATTCGAATATATCATTCGATTCACTTTCTAAATTTAGCACATGAACTTTCTAAGTGTAGTTATGATATTCTATGAATATTCATAAGTCAAACTGAGTTTAGAGATAGTCTAATATATGATTATTCTCTTGAGTTCCTACTGGAACGTAGGGCTTCAAAAGTACATTTCAACTTTGTCCAATTTTGTGCGGTCTCCTTTGGCTGGCCCCATGATTGGCCATAGGCTTTCATCTCCTCCTCGTACGATCACCTACATACATATCAGCCTTTGACACACGACCAACTTGTCTTTTCCCATTCGGGTTCCAATCGACGGCCAGCTCGGCGGGTGACAGTCTCCTAAGAGTGTATCTGATTCATCTCCTTTTTCTCAAAAATATTTGTTGAGAAATAGGTTCTTGCGCCGTTTCTCTCCAAAGTTTCATGTTGCTAATTCTTTTTTGGTAGGCCATTTGCTCGTCAGTATGCAGCAAAGACAATTGTTTCTGATACTGGTGTTGAAAATTCAAATCTTGTTCTTTATGCTGAGTCAATGCAGAAGATTTCCAAACTGAGTTCCGATTCTGGCTTTGATATCTTCACCTGTCCCACCTTTAGTTGAAATGATGCTTCTCTAGATAAGAGAAGGAAGTTATCTCGTTCAAATTTCTCCTGTTTATAGTGATTCGTACTGGATTTTGTTATTGGTTGATCAACTTCATTGCTTCCGGCTTGTTTTCACTTGAAGTCCTATCTTTGCTGCATTTTCTGCCAAATTATTGGTTTTCGCCCGTAGGTCTTCGTATTTGTAGTCCAATATATTAAAAAGCTGTCGAATATTTCGCCTCAGTATTATTTTGCATGACGTAATCGATACTGCTTAAACCCTGGATTAACCAACTCAACATAAACAAGTGGATATATGCAGGCAAAAATAGAAAAATGTTTGATTTCTTAATATTACAAGCCAGCTCGAAATAATACAAATCAATATGACTGTAAAAGAACTACTGGACATGTGAGTGAGTTTATCTACTAAGGTTTAGAGATTAAATAAGAATAATAATTCAATCAGGCAATGTTGTGCAATGCATATGAAGGAAATCAGTCAAACCAATCGATTAGGGTTAGGATTTTACCACGACCATAACATCGTTTAGAGGACCATAAGGAAATCTGGGAGTATTGGACAGCAGTTTTGTCCCAGTCTGGAGCTCTTCCTCAGTACGCACCACTTGAGCGGGCAAAACTAGGACGAAACAGCTGGCTAGCCAATACTCTCAGGGTTTTTTTTAATGCTTCTTTAACTGATCTCAGTTCCTGATGAAATCCTGAAGCCAATCAAATCCCTGCAAACAAACACTGGATTAGGGTTAGACAAAAATTACACCACTGTCTTGCATTCAATACAATACAACTGAGTGGGACGGAAAAATAATCCTAAAATCGGATATAGTTTAGTGGTTAAAAAAAATGATAATAAAATCAGCATTCAACACCCCCTCCCACCTGCCACACTAGTGTTATTTACAGTCAGTAAATTTCTCTCGCAATGTATTCCATAACAAACAGGACTAATCTCTTAAGGAAAAAATTGTACATGCTGATTAACAATTAACAAGTTCATATACACGAAAAGAAAATAAAACAAAATAAAAATAAAACCAAAAGAGTAAAAGGAGAGTTTAGCTTACACTAGCTGTTTCATTGGCTAACCAAGCTTCTCCAGCTTGAGCAGCAGAATGTAAAGCTTCAACTGCAGCTTCCGATGATGTATCATCACCATCGCATTCATCATCAGTATCAAAAATATCAGAATGTTCATGTTGACATAGTCCATATTTGGCTTGTTTTTTCACTAAATATTTTGTAAAGAAAGAAAAACAGGTATTAATTATAACAATATTATTATTATTATTATATCCTTTAATTCCTATATGATTTGTGATTACTTTTACAGTTTAGAATTCTACACCATCGAATTTCACTACAAAACTGACAGAACCAGACTGACATTTCAACTTTTTTAAAAAGACTAGTCTTTCACAATAGTTCCTGTTTGCTAAATAACGGTATTTTAACAATATTTAACAACAGTATTTAACAATTTCCTTGGAATACCGGAGGTACATTCGAAACTCCCTGTTTTAAACTGTGATGAGGGGTTAGACAAATTATAAAAAATAAATATGACAGAAATTTTGAATTCCACATATGACGGTGAATTATATCGGAGTGTAGGATAACTCAAAACAGTTTATTATTATTATTATTATCATTATTATTGTTTCTTTTAGTTCCAAGAGGAATATGGGGCTTCAGCCGCACGTTTCCATTGTGTCCAGTTCTCCGCCAACGTTTTCACCTGGTTTCACAATCGCCCATCTTCTCTTCACATGACTTCCTCCATGTCATCCTCACACTGAGGACCGAATACCCGCTTCACATTCGGATTCCACTCGAGTGATGGCCTGAAATGTGGTGTCACTCACTTCATTGTTTTCTCAGAGTATGGTCAATCAAACTCCATTTCTTCCTGCATATTTATTGCACAATTGGTTCCTGCCGGGTTGATTTGCTTCCATAGCCCCTATTGGTGATCTTTTGTGGCCAGCCATTTGATCATGAGTGGTAATGAGCGAAGATAGTTGTTGATGAAGGTATATAGTTTGTTTGAAGTGCTCTTCGTCACGCGCAGTGCAAGTCTCTGATCCGTATACTGAGTAACACTGACTTCACATTGGAGTTGAAAGTCCGGATCTTATTTTTCATGTTGACTGCTGTTGATCTCCACACAGACTTGAGAGTAATGAAAGCTTCCTTTGCTTTCCTGATCCTTGCTTTGATGACATCCTCATCTGCTCCGTTCGCCTATAGTTGAAACGATGCCTCCCAAGTAGATAGGCAAAGGAGGTTACTTCTTTCGGATTTCTCCCATTTATGCTGGCTGATTGTTGTCTGTTGTTGTTGCTGCTGTTGATATCGGCCAGGAATCTTCATCATCTCCGTTTTCTTTATGTTCACCTGAACTCCTTCCTATCTTTGTGGGAAATCAAACATATATCATCGGCGAAGTTCAGATCCTCCAAGTTTTTTTGTGGGTCCATTTTATGTCTGTTTTCTTGATGCCTACCGCTGTCTGTCGCATTATCCAGTCAACCACAATCAGGAAAATCATTGGAGATAGTAGGCAGTCATCTTGTCTTACTCCGGTCTCCAATTCGAAGAATTTCGTGAGTTTCCTGTTGTGGATTACTTAGCATGCAGCATTTTTAAAATAGTTTGCAATGTCCCGAATGTGTATCACTCTACCGTCTCCAGATTATCGTCTTTATCACAGCTTTGTTTTTCCATAACAGCATCACTACATTTCTGTACTCTTACCATTGGGTATTATTTCGACGTAAAACACCCTGAACTGATGTACCAGTGTAAGAAATTCAACATTAGCTGTCAATCAATCAACAAAGATAAAAGAAACTTAGGGAATCAAAACTTACATAACCTTCGTTGTCTTCTTCTAGCTTCGGTACTGAAACGACGTTTTGGTATATTAGTGAAAAGAGGAGCTAATTGATTTGCATTAACAACAACAACATTGCCTGAAAGATTTGATTGATTCTGTGAAACATCTTGATTTTCTATACTTCCAGTAGCTGAACTTGAAGCTACATTACGCGTAACTGATGGTTCTGAAAATGCTGGAACTTGAGAATGCCCAAGAGGTGCTAACAAACTCAAAGATGTAGCTGGTGCAGTTTGTGTTGATTCACCATCCTCGTGTCCATTTTCATTGATTGCATTCATACTACGACCTGTATCATTTGATAAGGCAACCATGCTTAAACTGTATGGATTATTTGTAGTAGGATGATTTAAGGAGAGATTTTCATCAGTAACAGACATTGTACTTTATCAAATGAGAAAACAAAAGAAAGGACATCTCTTTCATTTATGGCAACAACAACAATAAAAAATGTTTACAGAAACAATGTTAAGGTTAACAAATTTCGTTAACAAGGGAACTCAAAATGGCTTAATTTACGATGGTGCGTCGGTGGCATAGCGAGTAGGACGCTCGCCGACCATGCACATTGTCCGGGGTTCGATCCCCGGCCACCGACGCACTCCTTTACCCCGCTTAGCCAGAATTAATGCTGGTAGAGAGGAAAGGTTGGGCATGAGGCTAACAACCCCATCCTGTAAAAATAAACACTACTACAGAAACTTCAAGTCACTAGCTTGAAGCCTGATGTTCCACTGGGAACGTGAAGGAAAAAAAAATTTACGATAACACCTCAGCGCTAGTAGTAAAGTCAGAGGTGATTATGAACTGACAGCTAGTTACAATATCAAATGATCGAAACATAAGGGTTTATAAATGCGAATAATTAAATCATTTATCATCTTTATACAAAAAACCTGACTGATTATTGCAACTTTCTACGCCTGAAGTCTGCTGCAAATGAGAAATGAGCAAACATAAGAAGCTGAAATGTGCTCAACTCAGAGGACAAAATTCATTTCATAGTGAATATAAAGTAAAATAAGTTATTCTCGTGTTATTTTTTCAGGATAAAAGGACGGATGAATAACTCGGCTAATAAATACACTCCTAGTCAAGTATGAAAATTACCCTAAAAATATTTACTGCCTTTAGGCTTAGGACAGGCTGAATTTGATAGATTTTTGTGGAGATTTCCGCGTATACACATTCAGAGTGGATTCTACCCACCTACCTACCTACCTACCTGTAAGCTGAGATAGGTAAAAATGTATCATCACACACACACACACATTTCAGTCAATCTAATCAACTATCAACCTACAAGACATCTGCTATGATGTTATTACAATTCATTGCCTATCTTACCTACGGTTCACTTGAGAAAACTTAACAACAACAAAAGATCACACAAAAGATTAACCGTCTCATACACTAATATCGGCATCAGACAGGTATATATAAAATATATAACTGTCAACGCGAATTGAAATTTTACTTCAAATAAATAAACATTGTCTGACGCAGTAATCTTGTTAGCCGTGGATAGTTAATCTGTATTTCAGACTGCTTGTTAAAACAACCATTGAAAGGAAGTTAACGTAAATGCAGACAGATAAGAAACCTCCTCAAGAAGGAGCAACAGCCCTCTAATCATAATCATGCCTTGAACAGTAAGTAATAGGATTCAACAAACTCAACTGCGAAATGTATACACCTACCTTATATCTGTGGGTAGACTAGTAGTTAACAGAGGTCTGCCAATAACTTCACGACGACATCGACCGCTAAAAAGAAACAAAATAAATTTAAAGCTACCTTAATAGTATTCATTATAATGAAGGTATTTTTGTATTTCCCAATTGAATGAAAAACAAAACGATATTGTTGTGTTTTTACTGACGTTTCGCTACTTAATGCTGCCAATAGCTTTATTAAAGTATTATTAAACTGGAATTTACAAAATCTCAGCATAGACTTAGGTCAAGTTAAAAGGACATATTGAAAGTCAAAAATAGCAATGGAGATCACTAAACCAAATAACAAAGGTAATAGTACATCTGTTATGTTATCGAAACAAAGTCCACTAACTTGATCATCGTTCGTCAGTCTGGGGTCATGTTTCGTTGTCAAGTTGGTCAATTGGTATAGATAACAAAATCAAGTGTAGATTGTTGAATTTGATCAGTACGTAAAATCATAAAAGTAGTGTGTGTATACATAGTGAATTTGTTTATCACATTCGTGTTGATTTTGTCACTTCATGGGGCAGGGAGGTGTTGTAACCAGGTTAGATTCTGTTTTAGTCCATCATTCCTATTCAGGCAATTTAAATTCCACTTGATATGAAGTGCTTCTCACTGATATTAGACGTTCTTTGTGATTTCTAAAGTTTTTCTGGATTATTTCAATATTGTCAAAATCAATTTTGTGACCTGATTCTATAGGCGAGTAGACCTATGGCTGATGATTTTTCAAGTTTTTCCAGTTCTATTGGATTTCTCGGTGGTCGAAGAGATGATCTACGGTGTTCATTTCTTCTGATTTTGATTCCTCGAGATGTTTGTCCGATGTATATCGCATCACATTCCAAGTATTTTATTTTATAGACACAATTAGATAGAGAATCTTTTGAAATTGGGTCTTTTATATGGACAAGGTTGTTTTGGAGTGTGTCTAATGTTTTGAAGAAAACTCTAATGTCGAGCTGATTGAGTACTCTTCTGATATCGTCTGACGTCTCTGCTCTATATACAATGATGACTGTTGATGTCCATGTTTTCGGAATGCGTTTTTGGCCATACTTAATACCTGTGTTGATTTTGTAACTTCTATAATATACCTTAATAGTATTCTAATATATAATAGTAGTGTGTATTTAAATTAAGCATTCTACATATAATCTAAACTATTTAAATCCAAGGATATTTAAACTGATGAAGATAAACGCAATAACTTCTATCAAATGTCTAGAGAGGATAGTCAGTAGGCAAAACAAAAAGTAAACATCACTTACGAGAATGTAAAAGTTCTGGTTCGTTGAAATAGTGCCCGTTTCGATTTAATAGGCTTAACAGATGAAGACTTATCTAGACTATATTTAGAAAAAAGTAAAATAAACAAAGAAAGAAAGAATATTCATTTAGTTATTTCATTTCAGAAGAAAAAAAACCAACCAGACAATATATTGTGATTTTTTATGTAAAAATACCTAGTAATCTTAAATAATTGTGAAAAGTGGTAACATGGAGAAACATGACAGTTTAATGAATATGCAAGATTGTACAGAGTGAATGCCTCTATGCACCAATGAGAACGATTTTGAGCCATATCACCCACAACTGTATCCAGTCATTGTTCTCAGCATCCCAAGGACCGCAACCAAGCGCCTTGTACAAACCATGAACCTAAGCCTACATGTCTTAGCCATCTGAATCGTTTCACCTTCATAACCCTGTCGAATGACTTACCCTCCTCACCTAACACTATATACCTAACTTCACTATTACTCAGCATGTCATAATATTTAATATGGGAGGTAGAACATAGATACCTCTGATCAAAGACAGCTAGCTATTTAACATCTCTCCCTTTCAATAGCCATATCTGACAACCATAAAGGACGGATGGAGCGAGTTGTTATGCTGTACGCATGTCTTTTGATTGACACCCAGATATCAGGTCTAAGTCAGAGGTGATGTAATAATAATAATAATTTGCTTTATTCCAAAACAGTACTTGTGATACAGAATGGGATTCTCAGCATTTTTACTATAGTATTGCATCCACTTAGTACACTCACAATAAATAAAGTTCTACATAGATTAAGGGTAATCTCAGTTAGTTATGACAACAACATATTAGCATGTCGGTAGTAAAGCCAAAAATTGAACGGTGTTTGAAGGTGTTAGAAAAGTAGATACTACTAGCATATTTACTGGCACAAGCCGTAACAAAAAGGTAGAGATATACAGAGTGTGAGAGAACGTAGAAGAATGTTTTAATAGTGTTCGTAAGGAGGAAAGAAACAAAGCAGCACATAACAGAAAAAAGGAGACGGAGAGAAAAGGAAAGGAAAGAAAGAAAACGTTGTACCTACAAATGATATGAGTTGCAAAGACGAGATCCAATCGTCCTACTGACTATTTAATAAGTTATAAGTTTCACGCCTAATGCTTTCTTTATGGCACAGAACACGAGCTAAGTAGGATATGGTTGAGTTTTTATATTTGCTAGAGCAAGCGTATAGTGTTCTACATAGACTTCTGGTTTTCCCTGTAGAGATACAAGGGGAGAGTTATGAATAAAGAGGGTGTTCTGAGTTAGATAAAATGGATTTTGCCCATTTTTCACATGAGTCCAAGTGCCTGTCGACCAGAATTTTAACAAGCTGGTTGAGTGGCACGTTGCTTACCCTGTTGACAACCTTTAACATCTTACGTAATAAGATATAGTCCTTCTTCAATGACCCTGGAAAAAATTAGGGGAACAATATAGAATAATGGGCAGGATGCGGGAGTTAACGAATTGTAGGAATAAGGGTTGGATTATGCTAGAATGTCTTAACTTCTTGATGTAGAAGGTAAGACGGAATATTTTCTTAGAAATCATAAAGATGTGAGACGACCAGGAAAGATAAGCAGATAGAACGACGTCAAGGTATTTAATTTCCGACTTGGTTTCCATTTCAGTGCCATCTATGTTGCACACCTCGTGAGTGCTAACCAGTTTGTTTAGGTCAAATTGGCAACTGCTGAATGAGTCTTTTAAATGCGTGTTGATACTACAAGCAGATTTTGAACAAAATATAATCGAGCCTCAGTGGGAACATCACTCACTGAGAAATGCAGGTACATCCAGATGGCGAGTCTCAAATAGGACGAAATGCGCATCCTGGATTCCACTGCTAGCCACCATCCACCAATTGTAAAATATATAAGGGTTTTTGAATAATTTAAGATAGTGCAGGATACCTTCAGTCATGAGCTTCAACATACATATTCAGAAGTATTTATTCATCATGTCAACTAATGAAATATTTTTTATTCTTTTTGCATTCCAAGTAGAGCATAAAACTTAAGGCTTGAGCTCCGAAGTTTCAGTAGCGCTGACATTCTTTATAACAGGTTAGTGATGCTAACCTCACACCCAACCTTCCCTCTTTATCACGCTTACTAACGGTTAAGCGAGGTTCAGGAGTGTGCCAGGTGGGAATCGGACCCCACTCATGAGCTTGGTTAAAGTTAGGGTGAGCATTCTACAAATAAATCACCGATGTGAAGCCAACTCCTCGACCAGGAATTCAATCCAGGCATTCCAGATGACAGACAGACACAGGACTCACTACAATGGAGGGGGGGTAAGTTTACAAAACCCGAAGGGTCAGAAAGTAGTACGAAAATTACGATTTTATGAAGTAATGACTGAACTTTAGTAAACAAGATCAAAATCACCCGAATACGCTTATGTTAGAGATACACAGGCGAAAAGCGACAATTTAGCAGATGTGGGAAGCAAAGACAGGACTTCGAGTGAACATAGAGAAGACAGAGACGATGGAGATATCTAGCCAACAACAACAACAACAATAACCAATCACCATCAACGGGGAAAATTTTGAAGGAAGTCACATCTTTCACTTATTTGGGCGGTATTATTTCAACTACAATTTGGAAAGATGGGGATATCAAAATCAGGATCGGAAAAGCAAAACAGACCTTCATTAATAATAATAAGAAGAAGAAATCAGTCTGGAAATCTACCACACTCGACACAAACAACAAGATTCAGATTTCCAACATGAATGTCAGTCAATTCAGTACTTTTATACGGTGAACATGTCACGAAAAAACATTTCGAAACGGGACGTTAGATCTAAAAATTAAAATAATATTTTAAAAAGAATGGATACTGAACAAAAAAGTACTCTTTTCGATAACCCTTTCATCATCAGGCTCTACAGTTATATATACATATTATAGTGAATGAATGAATGAATGAGTTAGTGGTATGAACAACATTAATGTTGCTGTTTAAATAACATCGAATTAATAATAATATTAAAAGATTACAGTTCAATAGGATCAACATAAAATAAGCTGAATGTCAGAAAAATTAGGAGAGATAATATTACAAATTCATGGCCACAAAGCCAGCCAGCGTGGAAGAATCCTTCTCTGTCACCGTCTACCGGGTGCCTAATAAATTGCCGAAATCATCGAAGCACCGCATGCTCCAAACAGCACAGGCTATTGCAATTCGCCTCAAACAACCAGTGATCTGTGTTCAAAAGAATCAAGTCCAGCCAACCCCTACTACTGCCCTGGTTGGCCTTCAGTAGAAACTATAAATTCATGAATTTGTAATATTATCTCTCCTAATTTTTCTGACATTCGGCTTATTTTATGTTGATCCTATTGAACTGTAATCTTTTAATATTATTATTAATTCGATGTTATTTAAACAGCAACATTAATGTTGTTCATACCACTAACTCATTCATTCATTCATTCATTCACTATAATATGTATATATAACTGTAGAGCCTGATGATGAAGGTATCGAAAAGAGTCCTCTATGTTCAGTATTCATTCTTTTGAAAATAATCTCTCATAGAATTTTTCTTTGGCCATTCAGAATTGAGCAACAGTATGTTGCAAACTGAAAAATAAGAAAATGTGTATTTGAGTACATTTCGTGAACCACAGACGTAAAAATGTGAATGATTATAATAATAAAAAAAACTAAAGAAAATAAGATGTATCATCTCGGATTGAAAGTTAGATAGCTCAGTGATTCAAGCAAGCCGCCAATGCAATACAATACAATACAATCACTGATAATATACACAGCATAACATCAAAAGTGGGATAAGAAGTCAACAATAAGTAAAAATACTCACGTGAAAAACAATTGTCGATCAGATGCCCATTCCCATAAAGCTTGTGCAACAGACTTATTATCACATTTATAATGAATAGTTGTTGTAGTCTGTAATAATAATAATAATAATAATAATAGAATGAAAATAAGAAAATAAACAAAAACAGACACCTTTACGCACACACCCACACACAAAAAAAATCAAAACTACGTTGTATTTATACATTAAACACAAAATACTTCAAAAAAATAACAGCAAAAGTACTCTAAGCAGAACACATTGAAACAATAAACAAAATCCGAAAAAATCCTGCTTGGGAAAAAAAGGTAAAAACACGCAGAGACACGCACTCACATACACACAAGAAAATTTGGGAGATAAACTACTGCTAGCCAATAACTAAATTAATAATCATCTTTAAATAAAGCAATTGAACAACTATCAAATCTTTTTCAAGTATTGGTTTATAGGGATTCGGTTGAATGGTTACAGGATTTCATCATAAGCTGACGTTGGTTAGAGAATCATTGGAAAACCAGCTGGAGTACTGGATAGCTGTGTTCCTCCGTCCTAGTTTGGGACTCTTTAGCAGTACCCAGGACCTTCTGGTTACAAGGCGAGCTTGTAGACCATTAGGCCACAGGGACCTGATCCAATAGCTAGCCCATGAATTCTAACTTCTGTCAATTCACGATATAGCGCAAACACTATCAAATCTTTGTTTTTGATGAATACTCTATTACTGAATAGATTTCAAATGTGGGATAGATTTGAATCAATCAGTTTGAAAAAAGGAAAGCTGTATCTTAGACTCTAGTAATAATTGAAAGATAATATTAGCATTGTGATAATAAGGGTTAAGGTAGGCAGGCAAGCAGACAGGCAGGCAGGTAGGTAGATAGATGAGCAATCAATTAAGCTATCAGCGTAAAGTTTGCGGCTCGCTTTGTTTTTGAAAAATAATCACACATCTACACAATTTAACACCAATTTTTTCTTGTTGTTGTTATTGTTATTTTTTTCTTTAGTTAATAAAGCAAAACCATGTGTGAAACAGTAATGAACTTACCTACTACTTTACTTTATTATAAAAGACAACTGATCGACTAAGAAAGAAATGATGGTGAATATCTTTAGGAATGGAAAGAAGAAAGACGAATGAATTCAGATTGACTACTCCAAAGAGAAAGCAAAAACACAAATCAACTAAAACTTAACTGCAAGTTATCATCCATGCTGATAAGACAAATATGAGTGTTACACACTGCTAACAACTTATATTCTATTGATGATTTCTAATAGTAAGTCTATTAGATATATAAAATGATAAGGCTTCAAGCTTTCTATTGGTGTGTGTGTGTGTATGATAATAAACATGTTTCGGTGGTTTCATGGTAAAGAATATTCGCCAACCACATGTACATGGTCTGGGTTTCATTTCCGACTGAAATACTCCTTAGGTTGACTTAGACCGGTAGAGAGGGAGGGATTAAGCGTGCGAGATTGGTAAAACACTTCCCCGTTAAAAAGAACGCTAGTGTTGATCAGTATTCAAAGCTCAAGCTTGAAGCCGTTTTTTCCACACGGAATGCGAAAAAGTGTGGGGGGGGTGGGGGGTGAAATGATAATAAACAGGTTTAATGAATAGCCTACAGAATATATTATATTTTCAGCTGTACGGTGATAAAGGTATCGAAATGTAATAATGCAACCTAATGAGCCAAGCCTGGCTACCCAAAAGTTAAATTGGAAAGTACAATTGGAGCTCAATTATTGGATGGTAGTTGGTTTCCTAACTAAAGGATTATGGCTCCAAACAGAGGAGGAAACAAAACCTAGGCACTGTGAAGTAACAGAATACTTTCATGAATGTAATGATATTCACCAACCGATAGTGTATGTACTTGAGAAAAAGACTATTGAAGAATATTCATCTTGTAAAAAAATAGCCATATCGTTAGTCTACGGATACCTGGAACAGAAAGAGAATTAGTATTGCGTGACCGCAGAGCACAGGGGACAACTGCTTGAGGCCGCTCACACACGGCCTGTATGAACTGGTTTCTGGGATCCGTTGCGTATTAGTAAACTTACCGCCGGTTACGAACCACCGTAGGGTAAGTCAGGATGCACAATTTTCGGGGTCAACCTTTTCTAACCCCCTCTCTCCGGAGTGGAGAGACAGCATAGCTGGCATGCTGGTCATCTGAGGGAAACACCTCACTGCTGTTACACCCCTGTTCCCCAGAAGTACGACTTCGCCCAAAGACCCCTAGCAAGAAAGTGTAAGAAAGATTCTTACACAATTCCGGTAACTGCTTTTAGTCTAATCGCTATCCTAACAACCTTTCTGGCATGGTAGAACCTGCAGGAACATTGGTTCCAGTCAGTGTAGCTTGTTGGGTCATCGCGATATGCAAGCCTGACCACCGCGTCAAGGGGGAGCAGCTATCGGTCGAGCGATATCGTTAAACTATCAAGTAGAAGAAAAATGTCGTCCAGAATCTGGAATTTTTATTTAGTGATACTAAAAGTCGATGAGCTGAATTTTGTAGTTAAGACAACCTACAGTCAGCCAATAAATGAACTTTAGTAGCCTATCGAAATGAAAGTCGGTTGATAAAATGTAAATTCAAATGTTTAGACTCCGTAATGGAACAATTCTCCACCTACTACAACTCATGATGACAACCTAAACCTATCCCTCTTAACCTAGCTCCTAATTCTAACCTTAGCAGTAAAGGATGACCTGCATTCATAACCTTAGTTATGAAGGCTACTGTCAAAATGTTTCAATGGTTGTAATAGTCTGTCTTCACCGATTTCAGCTTTGTTCAGCAAGGCTCTTGTGTTCCCATAAGAAGGCTCAAAATATTGAATAATCTGAATGGAATATTGAGACGTTGTGTGGCTTTGTTTTTGTTTGTTTGTTTTTTCTATAGAGAAGAATAGGGTAATCAGTGTTCTAAAAAGTCGATAGAGAGAGAGAGAGAAAAATAGGTGTAATACTCAGGATTCTACTGAAAACTTGATGCTATGTGTAATATTTATTGGATCATCAATCACATATTTGTCAACTGATTATGAACAAAGTCTATATTCTATATTCATATATTGGAGAGATTTTCACCTAAAAATTCTTATAGTACGCAGTCCACTAGGTCTGTTGCTAGGAGAAGAGAGCAAAAAACTGTTATTCAAATTTTATTTCCATTTCATTTCACTGCTATTCACTTACTTATGTACATTCTAAAGTACATCCGATTATCTTTTAAGTAGGTAAAGTGTACAATACCTAACGATTGTAGTATTCAGTGTACAACATTGTTGAATAATTATACTTAGAAGAAAGATTAAGATGACAGATAAGACAGATGTGCTTCTGATCAAAACGGACCCAAGTTATCAGAAACCACATAAACATTATGTTTTTATTTTATTTAAACGCAGAAGAAACTTGGTACAATATGGCACCAAGAAAGATGCACCACACAATAATAATAAAACAACATAGATCAAAAGTTAAAAATATATATAAGTAGAGAACGGATGAAGAACTTCATCTGGAAGAAAAACAGTCATGCTTAACAAGTTCAAACAGTATTCGTTGACTATAACCGGGAAGGGAAGAAAGAAGGAAATTGCAACATGTTCGCCATTGATTACGATTCTTGGCCATATCCGATAACGTTTCGAGTCATCAATTCGAGTTATCTCGCGGACCCCAACCAAGGAGTCGTAACGCACCAACTGATGCTAATCTAGCACAAACATCCTCCATCTCAAAACTCCATATCATGGTCTAACCACCCCTCCACCTTTTACATCCCGTCCCAGGGCTAGCGAACAGAGACCGGTACGGAAGCCTCTGGGATGACATTCACAGCACATGTCCAAGCCGCCGGAGCCGGTGTTTACAGATGACGACACTCAATCAATGGTGATCTCCACTGTGTTCAAACACACGTCACCGAAACTCAGAATTACTCAAGCGATGATGCCATCGAACCCAAGCAGTCCTGCGGAGACAGCGATGATCGAACACACACAGTCGCCGAACATCCTCAGCCTACTCCGAGAGGCCAGGTTTCACAGGTGTACAGCAAGACAGTCCGCACCGAAGCATTGTATACCCGACCTTCGACAGCCAGGATAACGTCGCGACGGCGCCAGACGTGGCTCAAGTTGATGTATGACACCCTAGCCTTCATTATACGGTTGTAAATCTCATCTGTCACTCCTCCGCCAGCACTCACACAACTACCCAGATGCACAAACTTATCAACAACTTCAAGCGGTTCATCCGCAAGAGTGAGTGCAGCCACAGACTCCTGCTAATATTGTAACAGTACTTTGCACTTAGACGGTGCAAAGCACATAGCATACTTACAGACACAAATCACCAGCTGATTAAGTGTGATTTGGGCAGCCTGCATGCTATCGCACAGCACATAAACATAATTTTTATGAAACTGTTAAGAATAGATAATTGAAAAAAACACAACAATTATTTTAACTTCAATGTAGACTTGATCATGGAAGGACACCAGCTAGAGACCACTGAAAAACCAGAGGGTACTGGACAGTTGATTCGTCCTAGTTCAAGACTCTTCAAGATTTTAATGATCCTAGGTTACATCCCTGGTTTGATTGTGAGTATGCACACTTCTAAATAGTTCAGAAATTAGGATGAAACAGCTATCCAATACTTCGTGGTTGTTCAGTGATCTTTCCAACTGGTGACAAAATCTGTTTTTGAAACTAATCTAAATCCCTACTAAAAACCCGTAATCTAATTATTATAATAATTTGCTGACAAATAATAGTGGGGAGAAAAGAAGTAGGGTAAGTAAATTCAATCTCTAGCTTAATATATTTGAACAAAAATATTACAATTCGGAAGGGATAGTAAATTCACGCAATACATTTTGTACTAATAATAATTCATGCTTGTAGAAAGTATTCAATTCAATGAATTATGTTAGTGGGATATAGATATGAAGAACGTTTGGTTTAACGACATGCAAGTCAAATACAAATATATTCCATGTGTATGCTATATGCATAAGTGACAAGACAACATATACACTGAGTGATTCTATAGAGAGGGTAAAACATGCATGTAATTACATATTTAAAAAATTACCTTTTTCTTACGTCCCGAATGCTGTTTTAATTTTTTAAACAAAAATAAATGAACAAATGTAAGGTACTCATCTAAGTAGAAAATAATTATGTTAAAACACACGACATTACTAGTAAGTTTTCATCAGTAGAAGAATATATATATATATACAGGTGATTACAGGATTCAGAGGAATTTAAAAATGCAGCATCAAAATTGTCAGACTGCTATAATTTAATGCGTTCTCATCCAATTGTTTTCTATCTACCTCTAGTCACAGATCTAATCACGAGTTGATATCAGTTAGAGAAACATTAAAAAAACTAGAGGGTACTGAACAGTTGTTTCTTCCTAGTCTGGGAATCTTCAATGGTACCCATCCACTGTATTTCAAACTTAGAACCTTCTGGTTACAAAACGAGCTCGTAGGCCATGCAGTCACTGGGATCCAACTTAGTACCCTATGAGTTCCAGCTTCTGACATATCATCACGTCCCGAGGACCCCAACCAATCAGGAAGTCTACACCTCCCTACGTGACTGACTGGCTTAAACTAACTGTTGTGGATTTCATTGACTGATGAAGCCATGTTTTGGTTGGACCACCAATAGCTCTTTTTCAACCTGATCCATCCTATGTTAGTTAACATTGACCGTCAAGGAAGGCATAAGAAACACATGTCCTAACCATCTCAGTCGATGTAACTTCACGGCCTCGTCGACTGGTTGCCCTTCCCTATCTAGCACTCGGTGCCTAACCTGACTATTGCTCACTTTATTATACTACTTAATTGGGGAGATAAAACGCAGACACCTATGATCAAAGACAGGTAGCTTATTCATGTCTTCCACTTTCTCCCCAATTACCAAGGAAGAAAGACAGATCAAACAATAGGCGGATCACTTCAAAGGACTCTTGAACCGACCATCACCTGAAACCCGTCCAGAAATACCAACAACAGTGCGCACACAACTGCAAGTTGACACCAATCCTCCAACGAGAGCTGAAGTCTTGAATGCAATCAAGCTTCTGAAAGCTGGAAAAGCAGCTGGACCAGATGGAATACCCTCTGAAGCACTAAAAGCGGACCCAGAGACTACAGCAGACATGACATACTGACTCCATTATTGCAAGAGGTCTGGAAGGAGGGAAAGGTGCCTACTGACTGGAGGAAAGGTTGCCTCGTGAAACTACCAAAGAAGGGAGACTTAGGACTCTGCAAGAACTGGCGAGGAATCATGCTCCTATCGACGCCGAGTAAAATCCTGAGTCGCATCATCCTGGAGAGAATAAAGGACACACTGGATACAGAATTCCGACCAGAACAAGCTGGATTCAGGGAAGGCAAATCATGTTCTGACCAAAATGCAACTCTACGCATCATCATCATCGAACAAAGCATGGAATGACGATCAAACCTCTACCTCAACTTTAAATACTTTGAGAAGGCCTTCACTAGACAGCGTTGACCGCGAAGTGATTTTGAAACTACTCGAGTACTACGGCGTACCCCAAATATTCATCAAACTTACTGAACAGCTGTACGACAACGGCGGCACATGTCAAGTGATCCACAACGGAAAACTCACCGAGGCGTTTGGAGCAAACACAGGAGTCAGACAAGGGTGCTTATTAGCTGTCATCAATGATATTCCTAATTGTGGTGGACTGGATCATGCATCAGACAGTGAGTGGGAAACAAAAAGACAAGGATATCCTGGCCGACGTAAAGAGCCTAGAAGACCTGGATTTTGCGCGTGCATGATTTATGTTTGATGTCACACAAAATCGAAGACTTACAAACGAAAACCGACAAACTGGTCGAAGAAGCAGCCGGCGAAGATAGGACTCCAGGTGAACATAGACAAGACGGAGGTTATGAAAATAACCAACCAACAACAACAACAACAACAGAAACATCTAGTGCCAATCACCATCAACGGGATGGATTTGAAAGAAGTTACTCCATCCACTCACTTATCTAGGGAGCATTATCTCAACTACAGGCAGTCGGAACGGACGAGGATGTCAAATCGAGCGAGAATCGGGAAGGCGAGAAACATATTCATCAACCAACCTGAAACCAATCTGGAAATCTTCGTCACTCAGCCAGTATCAACAACAAAATTCGGTCGGATTTTCAATACAAACAACGTCAAGTCAGTCAGTTCTTCTATACGGATCAGAAACTTGGAGGGCGGGTCACAAAGAATATTTCCAACAGCCTGTTGCAGACCTTCATCAACAACTATCTTCGCTAGCTCTATACTGAAGATCAGATGGCCCGCTGAGGAGGCCGCTGGGTGACATCGCGCGCGCGTCATGTCATTGCTCGAGTGGAACCATGCCGAAAGGAAAGCGGCGAGTGGGACGTCAGCGCAAGGGTGACATGGAGGATATCGTGTGAAGAGACAGGAGTTGAAACAGTATGGACTAACACTGATGCAGGTGAAAAGTACAGCAGAAGACAAAAGAAGCAAGTGGAGACGTGCAGTTGAAGCCCTATGTTCCACTAGGAACCCAAGGGACAATAATAATAATACTTTCAATGGCTAGGTCTCAACCATACAGGAGGATAGAGCTTACTGCTGAGCAGTACACATGCCCTCTGAACAAAATTCGCAAACGGAAATATAAATGCGGAAGACTTTCATTACTTATATAAGCGTAAAGCTATTTCTTAATAATTGTTTTCATAAAGCTTACAACTCAAACGAAAACGTCGGTGGCACAGTGGTTAGGACTTTCGCCGACCATACACATGGTCCGGGGTTCGAACCCGCACCGACGCACACCTGATGTCTATGGTCGGCCTGCGAATTTGGGCTACCGATATCCATGCTGAAAATTCCATACTTGTACCGAAAATACAGTGTGGAATCAAGCTGTAAATCAAACAAAAAAAAAGAAAATAAAAACTACAGCAATATGCATGAAATACTTGATAGTATTACTTCATTTCAAAACACCAATGAACTCAATGTCGTGTAAGCTGATAATAAACTGCATTAAGTTAACTTGTAAAGTATTCTGTGGCTTTCCTTGTTCTCGATAGCCTCCGACTTTTACTACACAGCATACAGTTTAAAACATTAAATGAAAGCTGGTAAGGATGTTAACAATCATTACTAATACTACAGTTTACTTATTAGGCAGAATTTGGTTACAAATATAAAAACGCGCGAATTCTGTATTATTATAAGAATATAAGATAAAACACAACAATAGCAAAAACGAGACAATAAATAACATAATTTACTTGATGTGAAGTTGCTAAGACGAAATCCCTGCCATTGCATGTCATCCAAGAAATAGCCGACCTAAAGATTAAAAACAAAACAAAAAGGTGTATACATTTAGTCAACATGTTGAATCAAGCCTACCTACCTCCTACTCTGCGTCGGTGGCATAGGGGTTAGGACGCTCGCCGACCATGCACATGGTCCTGGGTTCGATCTCCGGCCAACTCACTCCTTTACCTCCCTAAGCCAGAAGTAAAGCTGGTAAAGACGAAAGGTTGTGCATCAGGCTGGCAACCCCATCCTGTAAAATAAACACTGCTGCAGAAACTTCAAGCTAGAGGCTTGAAGCCCTATGTTCCACTGAGGAACGTGAAGGAATAAAAAGACTCTCCAAGAATAATGACGAACTTTTATGGTTCATTAATTATAACTGAAACTCAAATATCAAATACTTAAGAAATATCCCTAACAAACCAGTATCATTAACATAAGCCGGGCAACTATGAATAGCTTCCAGAGGAAACAACACACAAATAGCAAAAGCAATCCAAGCTCTCATGTTGAGAGCCTTAATATCAAGTAATTGTTGAGTTTACCAATTAAAAAATATTAGGCAGTGAGGATAAAAGTTGATAACAGAACACACAAACACACACTTCCGACTACTACTACTATGAGCAGTTAAAAATCATCCATGCATGCTAACTGGCACTGCTCCTTAACCAAACGGAAAAACTAGGTTGCTTTTTAAGGTCAATTTAAAGCTGAGTTCATCACGTGTTTATTTGGTGAATAGTTTAAACCATAAGGTCTAGGGAAACGAGTAACAATCAATTATCTACAAGAAGAACACGCTAAGGTGAAGTAGAACGACTTGTACATACATTATAATGATCAATATCTCGAGGATTTTATGGTTAGATAGATAGCATATTCTTGATTTCCTAAAGAAAAGATAATGAGGTCTTACTCTGCATTGTGTATGTACTTACAAATAACTGTAATGATTCTAAATAGAATAACTATAATTCACTTCAGGACTTCATCATGAGCTGACATTGGAAAACCTGGGAGTACTGGACAGTTGTTTCGTCAACCTAGTTTGGGACTCTTTAGCAGTACACACCCCCATAGGGGCTCGAACCCAGGACCTTTTGGTTACAAGGCAAGCTCGTATACCATTAAGCCACTGGGACCCAATCCAATGGCCCATGAATTCTAACTTCTGCCAATTCACGATACAGAGCAACCCCTAATTGACTTCCATTTTATCAGACCTGGGGATATCTAATTTTTCATAAAACAAAACCAATAATGACCATGATTAGTGTAAGTTACGATTGAATTCCTTCCTGTTTGCAACCATTTAAATTTCTGGCGGCATAACATGATAATATTACACGTAAGAGTTTTCTTACGACTTTAACGTTCTACTTAAAGTGTCCTCCACAGACTCAATTTTCTTACTCGACCGATAGCTGCTCCCTCGACGTGGTGGTCAGGCTTGCATATCGCAATGACCCAACAGGCTACACTGGCTGCAACGAATGTTCCTGCAGGTCCTACCATGTCAAGAAGATTGTTAAGATAGCAATTAGACTAAAAGCAGTTACAGAGGTAGTGTAAGATTGTTTACACGATGCTAGGGGTCTGTGGGCGAAGTAGCACTGCTTGGGAGTAGGGATGTAACAGCAGTAAGGCGATTCCCTCAGACGACCAGCATTCCAGCTATGTTGTCTCTCCACTCTGAAGAGAGAGAAAGAGAGTTAGAAAACGTCAACCCCAAAAATTGTACATCCCAACTTAACCCACTTACGGTGGTCCGTAGACGGCAGTAAGTTACTAATACGGAACCAAACCAAAAAGCCAATTCAGACCGGCCGTGTGTGATCGGCCTCAAGCAGTTGTTCCCTGTGCTCTGCGGTCATGCAATCCTAATTCTCTTTCTGTTTCAGGTAACCCAAGAATAAATCAACTCCCACGGTGTGGGCAGCCGGGAACTAATAACCGCCCACACACTTCCAAAAGCACATGAAGCCCAGTCAGTCAGTCAACGTCTTGTACCTGACTGACTGAGCTACACTTGGATTTGATGCTCTTCACAATAGATTCAAGTTCACTAAATGTCACTGATGTCTCCCTTAAAGTTAGATGATAGATTACAAACTAAAATCATTTAGAGAACCATTGAAAATTAGGAAGTACTGGATACCTATTCCGTTTCAGACTGGGACTATTCAGTAGTACGCACCCATGACCCCACCAAGAATCAAATCGATGAGTTGCATATTACAAGGCGAGATGGTTGACAATTCAGCCACTGGGATGTAAGTTCAACAAACCAGGAATTCTAAATTCCGTCAAGCTGTAATACATAAATCCACTGCTAACCTGCCTTCACACCCAACTTGGATGCATACTGCTAAGCAATCCCAAACTAGGACAACATAGCTGTATAGTTCGTCCTAGTTATAAGTCGTTCTCTAACTGGTGCCATTTCATGACCCAAAATAATAGTAGTAAACATTAAACTAAACGTCTGTAACGACATAGCATGATGGTCACGCTGTTATACACACAAAGCAAAATTCTGTTCATGCATCGAAGCAGTTTCAGTGAGTTTAATCAGTATGCATTAATGTTAAACATTTTAGTGTAATCACAATTACATGAAAGACACCTTCAAACAACAGTTATGAATTGGTTTATTTACATTAAGGCAATAAATGTCTATTGTTAACAAACGTATGAAATGTTGAAATTATAAAAGCTAACATAATAAGAATTAAACGGACTAAATCGTATTATCATTTCTGATGCATTTATTGATTATAATAATATGACATTTTCATTTCTTTCTATTTCAGCGAAGAAAATTTTCTATATCGACGAAATCAACTCCAGAGACTGTACAGTCGTATTTGTATTTACCGGCATGATTAGCGAGAGAACAACCTACGACAATGACTGGCTCAATTCTCGATCACTTGATGAACTCAGGCCACACAGCTTCACTAGAATCATCTTTTAAGATTACCTACAAGATGAGACTGTATGGCAAAAGGAGTATTCATTAGTTTCGGAATTTGTGTATGGTGGAGACGCTGGCGATTCGGCAGTATAATCCAGAACTCTGTGTACAAAAGAGTTCATTCAGCCTCTTATCCTACCATGGTCTTAATCATCCGCTTCCATTTATAGTAATTCATTCATTAGTATCACTCTTATATGTGTCCTTCGGTATATTTTCTCACCCACTTCAAACTTATCAAGTGAACACACTTCACTACCTTACTTCTCATTCAATAACAATTTTAACTTGATCAGACTTCAAACCTTTCCTTCCATTCCGTTACGTAATTTGCTTAATTTTCCAAATTATTTTAGAAACCACTTCTGAGTAACTATATACATTATGTCACTTCATATTACTCATTAATAGACTACTATGCGTCTTTCGATAAATATAAATACCATGTGTTGGTTTGCATGGGGATTTGACTGGTTACGAGATTGATCACGAACTGACAGCAATTAGAGAACCATTGGAAAACGTGAAAGTACTAGAAGTCGTCTCGTCCTACTTTGGAACTTATTTTGTTATTTTTTTTTAATTTTTTTTTTGATTACAGCTTGATTCCACACCGTATTTTTGGTACAAGTATGGAATTTTCAGCATGGATATCGGTAGCCCAAAGTTCGCAGGCCGACCATAGATATCAGGTGTGCGTCGGCGTGGATTCGAACCCCGGACCATGTGCATGGTCGGCGAGAGTCCTAACCACTATGCCACCGACGCATATATATATATATATATATAGCACAACCCCCCCCGCTAGGCAGAAGGTTCTAGGTCCGAGCCCTGGTGGGTGCGTACTGTTGAAGAGTCCCAAACTTGGACGAAACGACTCCAAGTACTCTCATGTTTTCCAACGGTTCACTAGCTGATGTCAGCTCGTGATCAATTCTGTAAATATAAATACAATTGCACAATCTCTGAAGATAATTTCGTCGATAAAGAAAATTTTCTTCACGATTCAATGGGTATTTTTGGTCTTTCGCTTTCATTTGTTACTTATACACACACATACACACACTCAGTAGAAGAAAGAAAAACAACATACCATGGATACAATTTCTGACGTCGATTACTAATGAATTCAGCAACACCTTGATGTGTAAGGCCCAAATGAATATGTCGTGAACCATATGCTTTAGTCTGAAAAATAATAAGAGAAATTATCTATTCAATTTATTATGACGATATGTCTATCACCCCAAAACCACTAATCGAAATAGTATTAGAACTCAGTTTTTGGCATAACTATCTGTTTAAGTTCACTTCATTAAATGACTGTCTCACCAACAAAAAGTATAACTGTTTGTACGTAAAGTTCTCATCTTAACTCACTTGTGATTCGGCAGTCTAATGAATGACTACTCCAGATCAGGTAAGAGAACAGTTACTCGCTGATGAAATCACAGAAGTTGACACTCATGCGCCCCCTGAACCAAGAGGTCCCAGCAGAGCTCGCCTTGTAACAAGAAGGCCTTGAGTTCGAAACCCGGTGACTGGGTATTGATGAAGAGTCCTAAACCAGTACAAGACATCTATCCTCGACTCCCTAGTTTACCAATGATATCAGCCCATGGTCAAACCGGTAAACTCAAAACATTTGAAACAGTGTACTCTAGGTTTCAGTCTCAGTAAGAATACCGTGATTCACTAACACACACGCAGACTCGTTTGGAAAATGACAAACAAAATTACTCATAGATTCTTGACTTCTATGCTACCTACAACCAGACAAGTAGCATAAACTTAGAAGTTAAGGTAACATCAAGACATTCATTAAACCAGTTTATATTGCCGAAGTCAGGCTAATAAACAATTCAGTTCAGAGATAGCAAGTAGAAGAAAATAACACTGAATATAAAATACACCTTCAGTTACGTGTAAATAACCTAAAGAAAAGTAGAAAATGTGTAACAATTTAATTTGTCACACTTCTCAAGATTGTGAAAAACACATTATTTAAGAAACGATCAAAATATGAAGCAAGAGAAGGTATACTACTACAGTTTTAAGTTAACTGTGTCACGATAGGCAAGATTTTTTCGCCTGAATAAAATAATTTATCATTATTGAAGATATCAGATCACCTTCTGTAATAATGAGATAAATGCATTTACATAGTAGATAGAGAAACAGTTAGCGGAAACATTGAGAAGACTAAAATAACAAGGCTTTATCTCACACAGTCTGTATACATCACTTAAACCTATTGGAACGCTCACACTAAGACTATATGGCTAGCCTAAAGTGCACAAAAATGGTGTACCGCTTCGACCACAGTATTAGATATGTTAAATTCACCATACCATCCCGTAGCCAAATGGTTAGTCGAACTCTTGCAGCCTCTTCATACCGAGTCGGTGAAACACTTTGTAAAGTGTACCTTCGGATTTGTTGAAAGGATAAAAGATTTAAATGTTGACAATAAATTCATGATACCATTTGACGTATCTTCCTTATTCATCAATGTATCACTTATGGATACAGTGGACTTTATATGCGAAGAACTAATAAGACGAAACATCCATATTGGTATTCGTATTTCTTTTATGAAAGAGCTCCTCTTGAAATGTACAATGAATGTCCGATTTTTATTTAATAAGTAACCATATAGAAAAATCGACGGTGTGGCAATAGGATTACCCCTAGGACCCAGTCTAGCCGACATTTTCCTTGCGAAACTGAAAAATGGGCCTTTGAAGGATGTTATTAATTAACTTGAATTCTGTTATCGGCACATGGATGATACATTTTTGATTATAAAAAATGAGGAGGAAGGAAAGAACATCCTGGATAGATTTAACGTTCATCCTGCAGTAAATTTTACTATTAAGAAAGAAAAAGACTCTAGTATTTCATTTATGGACGTCCTTATGACGACAGTGGCACAATAAGAAGTGTATGTAGAAAACCTACATCAAAGGGTCAGTATACTCATTTTCTCAGCTTCGTGCCCTTAAAATACAAACGCGATCTGATAAAGTGTTTGGTTCAAAGAACAAGAGCAATCTGGTCGGATGAATGTCTTGATGAGGAACTTAATAATATTAAACGGTTGCTGAATGAAAATGGGTATCCATGATTAATTATTAGTTAGAATATGAATCTAAAATCAGAGGAGCCCATAGTTCCAACAGTTCCTAAAAAGGCCTTGTTCTTACAAATTCAGTTCCTTGGAGACAACATCAGTGAGACACTAACACAACGCCTTAGAAATGCGGTAAAAAGGGCATTCCCTGCTACTGAATTACATTGTGTCTACAAAACCACTCCCCTTTTGCGTCCGGGAGTAAAAGATAAACTGCCTAATTTCATGTCTTCCATATGCATCTACCAGTTTAACTGCTCCTGTGGAGCTAGTTACATAGGCCGTATAATTTGTGTGTTTCTCATCGAATTTCCGAACACCACCTTGCGTGGTTAAGCAAAGGACATACAAAATCTATTGATAGCGCTAATCTGTCTCATCTTGTGGATACAGAACACAAGATTGATGTTAACCAGGCTTTCAGGGTCATTTTACCGCATATCAACAAATCTCAAATTTTGCCTTAAGAGTTCGATTACTGAATATTGCTGAGAATGTGGGGATTCATATTAACAAGCCTAATTTGTGCATCCAAAAGAAGTTAGTTCAGGCGTTATAATTACCTTGACCATCTAGGCTTGAGTGATCCTGAATTTTTGTGGAATTTTCCTAATTTTAGTTGATATTCTATTTGCTACTATATCCTTATTATTATTATTATTATTATTATTATTATTATTATTATTATTATTATTATTATTATTATTTAAGCATCTTTAATGAATCATAATCCCTTTGAACTTACTTTACAAATCGATATCATTTAAAACCACTAATATTGTTATTGACTACTAGTCTAGAATATTCTATGTATCTAAGCTTATATATAATTGTAGAGCCAGAAGAGGAATTTATCGAAAAGGATATACTTTGCTCAATTATTTTGTGTTTTAACTATATAAGGCAGACATTTTACAGCGTAGATATAGATAATTATAAATTCATTTGCATGCCATCGATAATTAGTTGAACGAGAATAGGAATTAAAAATCAATAGAAACACTCAAGCAGTCTCGCTGTGTATAACAAGTTGTGAGTAACACCCAATATATGAAACATTAAAATAATGTTTAGTTATTATTATTATTATTATTATTTATAGGAAATTAAATGTCTTAGTTAAAGGCAGTAAAACACCACTGAATTATCCCCTAAAAAATAATATCTCCATTCATGATACTGTGAATAATACACAATATCTACAGGAAGCTAACGTCATAAAAATGTGTAACTGTGAATAAGGAGAAAACTATACACGATTGCTAAACAATGCCCGTTCCGACATAATACAAAAGACAGTTTCATTATTCACGTAGAACAACATATTTTTCGTTCCTTAATGTTCCCAGTGGAACATAGGGTTTCAACCCTCTAGCTTGAAGTTTCAGTAACAGTGGTGTTTATTTTTACGGGATGGGGTTGCTAGCCTCATACCCAACCTTCCCTCTTTACCAGTTATATTACTGGCTTACCGAAGTAAAGGAGTGTCTGTGGCCGATGATATAACCCCGGACCACCTGCATGGTCGGCGAGCAGTCTACCGCTGTGCCACTGACGCAGGAAACACAGGAGGAGATACACCAAATAAGATATTTTTAAATAGTTAAAAGAAAATTTTAAATCGCATGGCTGATTTCCCACTACTCAGAACAAGTCATAACCTACAGGTTAGTAAGCAGTGTCCAATTAAAATATCTAGAACATTCCTACAGGAGGTCAATCGTAAGTCCAAATACCTACCTCAGTGGTAACGCCTCTGAATACAGAAGTGGACGACACAGGTTCGAATTTCAGAAGTGATATGAGTTCAATCAAAGTTGCAGATACGCCGAGCAGACAAATGCTAACAAGCATGAAATCTACGTCCAAAGTTTCCTGTCGACTGCATCCAACTATCTTCACATTCCCAGTGGAACATAGGGCTTCAAGTTAGAGACTTGAAGTTTCTGTAGAAGTTGTGTTTATGCTTACAGGATGGGGTTGCTAGCCTCATGTCCAACCTTTCCTCTTAACCAGCTTTATTTCTGGCTTAGCAAGGTAAAGGAGTGCGTCGGCGGGAGATCGAACCATGTGAATGGTCGGTGAGCGTCCTAACCACTGTGCTACGGACGCATCCAACTATCGAATATATATATATATATATATATATATATATATATATATATATATGTAGAGAGAGAGGAACGGAGACGGATTATCACGGTCCATCACAAGTATCCAAAATCTATGTCAAAGCTAACTACAAAAATCATATATACCTCCAAAATGACATGTCCAAATAGTCAAACATCAACTACAAATAATAAACAAATAGTCGAGTAGATTCATATGATATTCCATGCGCTTAGAACAAACATGAAGCTACAGTTTTAATCTTCACTTCAAAACAAGAAATCAATTGACTAGCATTTAATAATCCCTTTTTTAGAAATAACTAATGTATAGGATAAAGTTTCGTATTTGAGGCAAGCCTTTTATTATGGACACTAAACAAAATGATTAAATGATTCGGAAAAATACCAAAATGTTAATCAATTAAATTACGCATTAGTTAGTAAGGAATATTAGTTTCAAACTGTTTGTTAAACATGACAAAGGTTCAAAATCCGTAGATTATCAATAAGGACTCCTCCAGTAAGGTGAAACTTAAACCACGTGTAAAATTGGCTTCTAGCAACTGCTTTCATACTTTCACCAATCTCTCTGAATTCTACAACTACTGCTACCCACTTGAGTTAAAGAAACACAGTTCACGGTTACTAAATACCGACTTAGGCAACATAATATTGGAGTATTCAACGTTCAGACCTTATGCCAAATAGCGTACAGGACTCCACTAGCCAAACCTCTACGATCTCGGGCTTCGGATGTATGTTATATCACATACAAGACTCAAGGATAGCTATTCACTGAATCCCACTTGTATGAAATGAAGAATCTACAAAATTCACCCTACAGATGACAAGATATCCTTTGGTTAACTCTAGGGGACTTAATGGTATAGGAATAGTATTAAGCTTAGAGGCAAAAACGTCATTACTTGATCGGATCTCAA